AAATGACCAACACCCAATTTTGGACATTCAGCTGTCACTACATCTTAATTCTGCTTATAATACAATCATCTGCATTTAAGTGCCAATTCGTCAGCGTCAAAACACATAGACATATCGTTTTCAAACATTTTTAACGAACGAAACACTTGACATGTGGAAAAAGTTGTAAAATAACACTTCATTATTTTTTCAGGTGAAATATGCATGAAACGAAAATAAAAGTTATTTAGAGAAAATTAAAACCTCTTGTCTCGTACCGAATTTTACAAAATCTTGTGTGCAACTCGTCAGGAAAAGCATTGTTCCACGCTTGCGACGTGTTTTTGACCTCGACGTCGTCTTGATCAAAAATCTCATTGCACAAATAGCTATGTAAATATTGCTACAATAATGGACTCCAAGCATGTCAGAAATTTTACCGTCACTACTCGTAACGTTCGTTTTACTGTACTGGGAAAATCAAATTATTTTTATATAAATTAAAAAAGAGAATAGGACTTGCGATGTTCTTCTTAGTTTATTTTGTAAATTTTTTACTGTAATTTCTAGAAGTCTTGAGGTGATTTTATTTATCAGTTGTGACTTATACTATAATTGAATTATATTAATTTAAAATATACTAAATGTTATCTTTGCGGTATGAAAAATTAATAAAATCAATTTAACGTGAGAATATAATTTTTATAAGTTTGTAAACACTGACTCGTAAAAAATGTATCGAAAAACAACATTCATATCACGCTAGCATTATCTGTAATTTAATATTTATAACAATAATAAAATTAAAGTGGGCCAGAATTAAATTCATTATAAATTTTGTCGCCCATGAACTTATTACGGATCAGAATATTATAACTATCCGAAGTATCAAAGATAACTTACTAACAGTAATGACTAATGAGTAAAAATTTCTAAAAAAACCTTTACTATGTTAGACTGGGTGTATATTTTTTTGTATTTATTTTATATATTTTTTCTCCGACTATGCTATACATTGTGTAATACTCGTAATTTTCCGTTAATACATCAAATTAACTGTTCTATAGCGAAATCAATAAGTAATACTTGAAACGTAATGTTGGTTCAATCAAAGTAGGTACATATATGTGCTCCGAATAAGTAAATAATACTGTTGCTGGTCCAGTTTTGTTTGTTGTGCACATATCAATTTACCGCCCTAATGTTTATTGACACACGTCCGGTAAAATAAATTATCAGCGCGTTTTTCATGGAAGAAACTTGTTTTAATAGTATTTACAGTTTTGCGGGTTTTTAAGTAAATTTCAAAAACGCAATCATATTTATAACTTTGACTTTTTCAGGCGGTCAGGGCTAAAATTGTATATTATTATATAATGTTGACTACTTGCGAACCTAATGAGCTTAAATGTGGACCAGTGAAAGTAGCCACAGAGCTCGGAGAAGATACTATTCATTCACAATTACGACCAAGATCTGCATTCCGTCTTTTATTCTCTGCTCTACCTGCCAAATTAAGAAAAATGCAGTCGTAAACGTTTGTCGTCAGATTTTTCTAGTATTGAAATTGTCCAGTCTAATACGAGCTCTTTTGGAGAAGATACATTTAAAAAAGGAATTATTTGCAATAGTCAAATATTAAGGCAATTTTTGTATACTGATTTCGAAAAATACACTTCTGTATGATCCGTTTCTGTCAAAGATATGTTCGTTCTTTTAAAACGGTTTTAACAATTGCGATAAAAACTTAAAATAGAAATAATTTATAGCAGTACCCACGCCAAGAAAAATGACCAAATATCAAGCTAAATGTTTTTATTATTACACGTTTGATGTGCCTTCTTACTTTTAGAATCATTGCTCAAGTGTATAACATAGTTTTTTGCGAATGTTAGATGCCAAGAAATGCAGTTGAGAACTTTTCACTTTGGGTAAATTCGCAAAAGCCATTTCTTTTCTAAAAATGTTAAAAATATAACGAACAACTTTGGGGAAATTGACTTTTATAACTCGGCTTTATTACAAAAGAACTGGGATACTTATCAACACGCATAGGGTAAAATTTGGCCACAATTAAATGGCGATAAAATTTTGATTAGGGAAGTAATTTCTTGCGTTATCGGTATAATTATCTAAAAGTCGAAAGATAAAACAATTGCCTAATACAAAAATTGTTACCAAGTACAGACACAAACCAAAGTAAGCTTATTTTTTTAAAAACAATAATATTCCATTTTCTGTTATCAATGATCTCTGAAACTGTTTCAAAGAAACTTTTCTTAATTTTTTGTTATTCACTATTCAACATTTTAAAAACAGATAAAGAAGAACAATGAAGTAATACTTTTTATTGTTACTACACTAGCAAAATGTTCCACTAATATTCAGTAAATATTTATAGAAAAAAAAAAAAACAATATTTTAACTACATTTGTTTTAACGAAATTTTGTTTCTATGAAAACTTAACGAATTTAATATCGGGGACAAATGGAACCTGAGTTTCTTTCAAATACAAGGAAACAAAATTCATTACCTAAAAACAAGCTGGGGGTACATAAATCAGGATATTCATTTATAATTCATTTATTAATTCAGTCATATACTTGCTTTTAAAATAATTGAAAGCTTTTAATGAGTTTTGTGTTTATTGTTATTTTCGTGCGATTCTCTGACTGATGCCAACGCTTAATCCTTGGTTCCAAATTTCTTACTTCTAGTCCTCGAATTACTTCGATAACTCACATTTCACATTTAATTTTCGTGTAGGGTATCAGCAATTTCAAGCTCATTTTATTTAAACTGTTACTTTAAAATAAATTTGAAAAATGGAGAAAAGCTAAAATTATCAGTTGTGCATGCACTCATGCACATTTGTAGACAATTTAATTTAAAACAATCCCTGCAATGGTTCGTTGCAATAGGCATACCAAACGGAACACTGACCATAGCGGCTATCAATAAAATAAAACAATTTAAAAGTTATGTTCTGAGGTCCACCGATTTAACCAATTATTCTGTAACGCTACAATACATGTTTATACTCGAAAAGCTGTAAATATTTTAATGACGGTAATAACCTCAAAGATATTTTATATTTTTTCTGATTAAAAAAAATTCGATTTTGATACTTTCATTTGTTTTAAAATAAACCTAAACTTTTTTCCTAGAATCTATATTATACATATTAGAAAGTCATTGTGCCAAGAATAAAAATGATGCTATTCAATATATCAAATACATATACACACTTTTCCCTTTTGTTTAATAACCGCTGAATACGATTACTAATAAGGAAACAGCTAACTAATCTTTAGACATACATTTTTACTTTATTTGTGTGCGTTAAATACCTGGAACATTGGTTTTTCCGTCAGTTACGCATGTACTTGCATATTTAATGTGTTGTGTTTCATATCGTATGCAATTCAGAAAAATAGGAAAAGTATGTGAACTTGGAGGACAAACATTTATCCATTCTAATTTCGATTGTTATTAGATAAAACGAAGTGATAACTGGAAACTCCGTTGCGCCGGTGCAGAGAACCGAACTACGCCACTGCTCGATATTGTTTACAAACACAAATACGCTACAAAAATTGCTGGATGCAAGATTAGAATTGCTGAAATACAAATAACAATGGATATGCAAAGTAAGCGTTTCATATCCCACTCGAAGAATAGCAATTTTCATAAAGCGGAAACTTGCTCAATTAACGGAAATGATGGACAGTGGCACATGTCAATTCTATTCACTCCACGATTTCATTACCAGTTGTCATAAGCATCATCGGGTAATCTAGATCATGACGTAATCTCGTTCCTTCTCTTGCATTCTCCATTTCATTCCTCGCTCTTTGTTTTGATCCCATAGTATTGACCGGTAAATTTAATTTTCATGACGTCGCGACGTGAGGCGACAGCCAGTCTGCCCAAACCGTGACTCAGAAGATCCTCGTATTATCATTCAGGCTTCCTTTTATGGTACATTTTGGGTTTGTATCAATTTTGACGTAACAAATTCTAGGAAAGAAGAGGGGTACCAACAACCACCCTTGTGTATTGATTTTCATCCCTCTAACCTACGCCAGCACGCACGCGTACTTGTACAGTTTGTTGCCAATTCCCTAATTCTAAATAGGTAAAATTTGCAAAATACTATTCGAATGGAAATTAATTTTTGGAATGTAATCACATTCGGCCTTGATATACCGAGAGGGCGGCGAGTTATCAAATTTATACTTGGTTCAGCAGCTTTCAAAGGTTTTTTCTTTGCGATTGTAGATGTATCGTGGTAATTGAAGTACACTGGCACGCGTCTACGCCCTTATTAAGTAATTCCCATATGGGTTTGTTTATCGTATGGTGTTCGTAGGAGAAGATGCGTTTTTTACTTTCTGTGGGTATGGGATGAGTCACTGTTATCGACACCCACGAGGCTTTATTTTGGTCGTAGCACACAAGAATGACATTTTTATTCGGCTGAAATATAGAGCATCACGTTTATTTTAAATTTTCCTAGCGCGTAGACGATATGAATCATTTTCTTAATCTATGTAACTAAAACAATACAGGAAAATCCTGTACACGATACACGAGCCAAGATACCGTCTGTTCATATAGGGATTCCTGCTCTACGAAATATTTTTCTCGAGTTTTGACGGATTCCAAAAGGTTTCTCACAGCTTCGTCTTTAAATAGCTACGACACCTCCAATTAAAACAGCGTCTAACAGAAACCTTTCCTAATTAGTGATCAGACGAGAAATTCAAATCTCACTTTTACTCAACTCTGATAACAAACCGAAGTAAACATAGAAAGTAATGCAATGAATGTGTCCCCATAATTCCTATGACGCATTAGTAATATGATACCGGGTGTCACAAAACCCTTTTAGTCGCCACGACATAGATATATAGATATAAACGACGATCAAGGGTGCATACGAATGAGTTCCCTTGACAGCGCTTCTTAGCCACTTTTTCATTTTGGCAACTCTTTGTTTACATAAACTGTCACTTACTGGCATTCGTTCATGATCTCCTCCTGGGTCCTGACTTGCACGGGGGCCAGCTTCTCCACCGACTCCTCGTAGTTGCCAAAGCACTTGGTAATTTTCTCGTCGAACGTGTTAACCAGGTCCTCCAGCGAGCCCGAAAAGGTCTCGGTGAAGTTATCGGCCACGGACGCCGTTTCGCCCGTCTTCAAAATGACGTTTTTTGGCGCCAAATCCGCGTTTGAATTGTTGAGGATGTCCTCGTTGAAGTCGTTTAGGACGTCGTTGATGTCTTTGATTTTTTTATTGAGGTTGATGTTGTTGAGTTCGTTCTCATTTTTTATGGTCGCGTTTTGGAACTCTGTCGAACCCCATTCATCGGATTCTTCGAATTGGGCCAGCGGTGCTTCAAATTTTAATTCGGCCATTTTTGTGGCCAGATCCCGCATGGCGAAACCCACTCCGCGTCACAGCCTGCACAACACTGCGGAAAGCGACGAGCGATAGTAGGCTGTGCTGAGCGCAGAGATGGGCGCGGGAGTGGGTTTTATTTGGATATATCTATAGCAGTTTCGGTGCAAAACTACGCAAACGAATAAACCACGATTGTTTTTTTTTTTTAATAATGAATTTATCATTATCAAAATAGAGCCCCAAAAATACGAAACAAGATCGCACAAAAGTGGGATGATCAACACAATAATTCACCGAAATCAGTAGTTCCTAATGAAAAAGCAGAGAGGCATGCTAAGAGCTAGAGCCACAAAAGATTAATCGATTCAATAGTAAGGAAAATAAAAGGCATATAGGTATCACTAAAGTCATCTTTAAAAAATTGGTCGAAGTTAATTTCAACCGAACTTCCCTCGCCCCTGAAGCACAGCACAATAAATCCATATTTTTCGAAGAATTCTAAGATTTAATTTTTATATTTATATTACGGGTACAATTATATTACAATATGTAATACATCAATTGTTAACTGCATTTCGCCGTATTCCCGTCATCTTTTGCCAACCTTCCTGGTCCAATGCATAATCTTTTTGTATATCTCGCTTTGTCATAGCTGTTCTGATGTTCTCATTCCACGACCTGCGTGGTCTACCCCGTTTTCTTCTACCCGGGACTTTCGATCGAAAAATTCTTTGAGGCCATCGCTCCTCAGGCATCCTTAATAAATGACCAAACTACTTCAACGATCTTTTCTCTATTCTATCTACCGCCGTCTACTCTGCTTTCATTCTCCTCCTTACTTCTTCATTGGTTTTTCTTTTCAGTCTTGATGTCCTCGCACTTCTTCTTACATAATCCATTTCTATGGCTAATAGTCTTCTTTTTAAATCTTAATTTAAAGTCCACACTTCCGACTCTACCATTGTTTTATCCACTCTCATTTTGGTCTTATTCGACCATGTCTTTATCCCACTAGAATGAGTTAAGGTTCTCTACCATTTCTCTACTTTGTTGGATTCTATATTTTATTTCCAGCTCTCCTAATCCGTTGCTATCCAAATAGGTTCCCAGATATTTAAACTTCTCTACTTGGTTGATCTCTACGTCGTGATTAATCAGAACCTGCAACTGGGCATCGTTGTTAATTACTAAATATTCTGTCTTAGTTAGGCTCATCTGTAGGGCCCTTTTTTTAGATTCTCCGTACAGATTTTTCATCATCCAAAGTTAAGATTTGACTTTACGAATTTTATTGAGTAAATCAGTAAATTTTGATTAACGATTTACGATGATTACGATAACCTTAAAATGTTTTTTTTTTCAAATTAAATTACAAAAAAATTACTGTTGTATATTTTGGAGATGACGTCATCCCGTCTAAATTTTGAATATGATTCAAAATTTAGACGGGATATTCTTAAGGTACATTCAAAATTTGACAACAATCGGTCCAGTAGTTTCGAAGATTACGTATCTATAAAAAATCGACACAGACGCCAGAGAGAGGGACAGGCAGACAGACAGGCAGACAGAAACGGGATATTACTTTTTTTGTACTCTAGGAGTCACTTAGTTTACGCTCTGGAAGTAAAAAGTCAAAGGTAAGTTCTATACCTACCCAGAAAAGATGATCTGACAAAATTCAATAATTACAGACCAATCTCCATGACTTTTGCCTAAAATTTTGGAAACATGTCTTTAAGTTTAGTTGGCATATTACCTATTTCGAACTAAATAATTTCATTTTAAAGTTCGGATTTAGGAAAAACTAATCTACATCGTTAGTCGTTGCTCATTTTTATAAAGTGCAGGTACCCATTTAGTGGACTCGACTCGTACCAAAGTGTTTAAAGATTTACACAGGATTTGTCATTTTTTTAAAGTTAGATACCGGGTGATTATTAATGATTGAAGCAAATTTTTGTGTTGGTAACTCTGTATTATTGGCAACAATGTTAACATGTCAGTTCACAGTTTGACAGAAGTGCGTCTAACGCGCTTTACAAACGTGATGTTGCCCTAAATTTCATTTTGACAATCAGGTATCATAAAATTATACAATTTTAAATGTGTTACCAAAGTGACAAAAAAATCAACCATTAATAGTTACCCGGTATTAATATTGCAAAATCTTCTGTTAAAGCATGAACGGCAGATGGACTGTATAAAACTATGATTGTATCAAAAGTGAGTGTAAAAACACGTATGTTAATAGAGTGACTTTATCTCAAGAAACAGTTGATGTGTACACAATAGTACATTCATGTTTATTTTTATTTAATTTTTAAAGTCAAGGTCAATACAACTTGGATGATTTTACGCTATTTTGTCACAGATCTAGCACGTGTTAAGACGACGAAGAAATTGGTTTCCAGCAGAAATCAGTAAACAAGTTGTTTTCTGTGGTTTTGGTTTTCAGCAATCCCTAGTCATTAACACGTAAAGGAGTGATCGTACTAAGTGTTGGTACCTGATTTTATTATCCACCTCAATTTACATGGTATAATTTAAATTGTGCAATAATAAAACACAAATAGTTTACATATCCCCGGTTTTTCATTTCCAGATGATGATATAGTCTCATACACCGATGATACCTTTTTTTAACATCCGATGTTAAATGTTAATGTTAAGGTACTAACAAATCTTATTAGAAAAGGAATGTTATCTTGAAAAACACTTATTTTCTAAGCGAAACTTAATAATAAACAAGTCTAAAATATGCAAGTGCTATTTTTCTTTAAGGACATTTCTTCCAGAGATCAATGTTTCTATGTTTGTTAACTTTTTATCTAGATTCACGAATATGCGGTACTATTGTATTGATCACGTTGCTAGTGAGGTGTTTTTGTTAAGATCATTGTGTGAATATGTTTCTATTCTGTGTATTCCGCATACGTGCATATTGCAGGCGGAAATCTATGGCTGAAATTCTACACTATAATAAGCTGCCAAATCAGATAAAATGTCAGAATTTAAAACAGTTAAACCTGCAGTAAAATTATTTCTAATCGATCAAAATCTACTATACCTTTCATAGTTTCTTATATCATTATTATTATTATTATTATTATTATTGACTTAAGCGACACACTTTCACAGCCGAGGCTGGAAACAAATTTGACCGGCTCCTCGCGCGCGACATTGGAGCTCGGCTCTGTGAATAACCAGGAATTTACGTCCAAACACTTTGAATGAAGTTGGTCAACAGACTTGAAGCCCAATTACAGACCAACTAGTACAGATTGAAAAAGAAAAAAAAAAAATAGTTACCTAAATTACAGGCGGCCACAATTACCACTGCTTCTCATAGAAGATAGGTTTGTTTAACACAATCTGAAGGAATCGTTATGCTCGTTATAGTTAGCGCACATCCGGTATAACGGTGAGTTTTTCTGGATGTCAATACGTGGCGTTGGAAGATAGAAAAATTGATAATTCTCAGGACGAAAGGATGGTCTTGGTATGCTGATGTAAAGTTGGCTAAGAAGTTGAGGACAGTCAATTTGATGATTAAAAATTTTCTTTAAGAAACACAAAGACGCGTTAGTGCGTCTTCTATCCAGATCGACGAGGCCGAATCTTTCAAGAAGAACATTTTGCGGAATTCCTCTGGGTGGGTAAACGCCATCTAATTTGAAGGATACAAATTTCAAGAATCTTCTTTGAATTTTTTCAAGTGCCTGGATATGAATTTGAGTTGCGGGGGCCCAAACCACACTAGCATATTCCAATTTAGATCTGACGAAGGCAACATAAAGTCTTTTTAAAGTAGTACCATTACTGAAACAACCACTAGATCTTATAATGAACCCCAGACATTTAACGGCTTCAGACACTATAAAGGAAACGTGTGGGGCAAATGAAAGGGAAGAGTCAAACGTGACACCAAGGTCTTTAAATGAATCAACTCGAGACAAACTGGAAGAAAACATCGAGTATAAATACAAAACTTTAGAAGTTTTATTGGTCAAGGACATAACGTAACATTTTCTAGCGTTTACGGGAAGGAGATTGTATATACTCCAATTTTGAAATTTGTCGATATCATCTTGAAGTTCTAGGCAGTCTTCGAAGTTATTAATGCGTCGGAAAATCTTTAAATCATCTGCATACATCAACACGTTTGAACTCAGATTTTTGGTAATATCATTAATAAAGATTGCAAAAAGTAATGGTCCGAGAATAGAACCTTGCGGAACGCCAGAAGTAACAATAATTCGATCGGATTCAAAACCATGAAATGTCACACGCTGAGATCTACCGGACAAATACGACCTAAAAAGCTTAATTAAATTTGCAGAAAAACCGATGCTACTTAATTTGGACAGTAAAATATTATGATTAAGCTGGTCGAAGGCCTTAGAAAAGTCGGTGTACACCACATCCACCTGTCGTTTAGCATCAAAGCTATCAGATACAAATTGAGTAAAACAGCACAAGTTGGTGACTGTAGAGCGGCCATTAATAAAACCATGTTGCGTGTGCGATAAACGATTGCGTACTTGAAATTGTATGAATTTATGAAGAATAGACTCGAAGACTTTGGAAAAATTACAGAGTAAAGAGATAGGACGATAATTTATAATCAATTGAGTATTGCCTTTTTTAAAAATGGGTGTAATTAAAGAAAGTTTCCAGAAATTAGGAAAGGAGGAAGATTTGAGTATTAAATTAAATAGAATGGTCAAAGGCCGAGAAAATGCAGTAGCACAGTCTGAAAGAAGAAAACCCGGAATATCGTCATGACCGCACGTAGAATTAGACTTAATGTTTTTCAATGCTTCTAATACCTCGGATTCATCAATAGCAGAGACAAAAACTGGAATATTGCTGAGATCTTCGTCAAGACTATTAAAATCAACATGTGCTAGATTAGAATAACTGTCACTAAAGTGTTCGACGAAGGCGTTTACAATGTCTTGAGGATTCAACAGAGATGTGTTTAGATAGCTCATTTGAGAAGGAATCCCCGAACGTTTTTTAATATTATTGACATGAGCCCAAAACTTGCGAGGATCCGAGTTAATATTAATTTCCAA